TAAGGCTTCAATTAATGGGATTTAGTGGTGGTTGGTTCATGAATAGATGAAAATTACAAAGGTGGTGATGGGTAAGCAGTGGATGGTGATGTCGTGTGATGGAGGTACTATGGGTTACGGTGGTTGTGTGGGGTGGTGCTGGTTGTAAGTTACAGGGTGGAGAAGAGTTGCAGTAGACGCGGTGGGTGCTCCACAGTGGTGGTTGTGATATGGTGGCTATGGGTATGGCAATGGTGGTGTGTCCTCACTCTCCATGTTGTGGTGGCTATGGATTTTGTCTCTGGTTATGAGGGGAGAGGAAGAGGCAAAACTGCCTGGGAAGGAAGCAGGAAGGCAAAGGAGGAGGGAGAGGCAGCGCTGCCTAGAAAGGGATGGGGAAGCGGAAGGGAAAGGGGAGGGTAATTTTGGCATTTCAAGCCTTATTATGTTGATCTCATCATTTTCCGTTTGGTCAACTGGCGGTCCACTAATGGATGAAAAAGAACAACCCGAATGACTCACTCATACTTCGAAATCAAATCAATTAGATTCAAAACAAAACAAGAATAGAACACAGCAGAAGCCAAGACATGATTAATATACCTTCAGACAAGCGAAGATTCCTGGAAGTCCGCAGCTGCAACTTAGCTGAAAGAATCACAAAAACAAGAAAATCAATTCTGAACTGCAAATGTGGTATAATATAATCAAACACAATAAATTTTCAACTCCCACAGCAGTAGAAATTTAGAAAAGGAGAGGGCCTACATGAGGAAGGTAACTTCAAACAACCAAAAAAAATTATGGTTAAGGCTAGGGAAAGTGGTTTAGAAACCTATTTACACAATTTGAATTAATTCAAATTGTGTAAATAGGTTTCTAAACCACTTTCCCTAGCCTTAACCATAATTTTTTTTGGTTGTTTGAAGTTACCTTCCTCATGTAGGCCCTCTCCTTTTCTAAATTTCTACTGCTGTGGGTGTTGAAAATTTATTGTGTTTGATTATATTATACCACATTTGCAGTTCAGAATTGATTTTCTTGTTTTTGTGATTCTTTCAGCTAAGTTGCAGCTGCGGACTTCCAGGAATCTTCGCTTGTCTGAAGGTATATTAATCATGTCTTGGCTTCTGCTGTGTTCTATTCTTGTTTTGTTTTGAATCTAATTGATTTGATTTCGAAGTATGAGTGAGTCATTCGGGTTGTTCTTTTTCATCCATTAGTGGACCGCCAGTTGACCAAACGGAAAATGATGAGATCAACATAATAAGGCTTGAAATGCCAAAATTACCCTCCCCTTTCCCTTCCGCTTCCCCATCCCTTTCTAGGCAGCGCTGCCTCTCCCTCCTCCTTTGCCTTCCTGCTTCCTTCCCAGGCAGTTTTGCCTCTTCCTCTCCCCTCATAACCAGAGACAAAATCCATAGCCACCACAACATGGAGAGTGAGGACACACCACCATTGCCATACCCATAGCCACCATATCACAACCACCACTGTGGAGCACCCACCGCGTCTACTGCAACTCTTCTCCACCCTGTAACTTACAACCAGCACCACCCCACACAACCACCGTAACCCATAGTACCTCCATCACACGACATCACCATCCACTGCTTACCCATCACCACCTTTGTAATTTTCATCTATTCATGAACCAACCACCACTAAATCCCATTAATTGAAGCCTTAATTAAAAGGGGTTGTTCAGGGAGGATGAGCTGGAGTATGAAGTGAAGGGTGGGGTGGCAGAGGAGGTGATTTCAGTGGTTGGAGAGAGAGAGAGAGAGGAGGCTATGGGGAAGGTTGCAGAGAGGAGTGTCAAATACGGGTATTTTGTAAATTTACTGTTTCATTTAACGATGTTAACTGACAAGGGAGGTTAGTGGTATTTCATCAAAGAATGAGGGGGGGGGGGATGTGATTTCAAGAGAACAGTTTTCTTAAAGCCTTATTTAAGGTTTAGATACTTTGTACTTCATCTTTACCATTTAAGGTGACCTCTGCTGTTGTTGCGTGCCAACTTTTGTACAAAAGCCACTATACAATATTTTGGGTGCTTATTACAGGCTTGGAGCACTTGTATTGAGTACATTGAATTGATAATACATTAGAATGTATATGCTCTTAATGTTTGTTTAGGAAAGATAGACATAGATAATAACTTTTTTATGAGAAACAATGTTATATAATTGATTCTTGGACAGTAACTTTTTTGAAGAAAACAGAAGTGATGTCAGTTACTGAGATTACATAATTTCAAAGAGTATGCATGGTTGAACAGTTCATTTGAAGTGCAAACACTAAAAATACCGGGCAAGAGGATTGCATAGATACAGACAAGAAAACCATAAACGAAAGACAAATTCAATGAAATTTAATTAAGATGAAATGAACTTTGATTTGTTCTAATTAATCTGTTAAACCCATTACAGGGAGCTGCTACAGTGCACTTTCAAGACCTGAATGCCGAAACTATAAGATGCACAACTATCCCTAATGTCCTGGCCAACCTTGAGCAGGCTCGGGACAGGCAAAGCCGACAGCTGGAGAGTCCCCTAACTCCGTCGAGGCAAACTCTGGCTCCGGCAGTACATTTCTTTGCTGGGGATTGGGAAGAACTTCCCACGGTCTTGTCTGTCGTGAGGAATGATGGGTTTGAAGTTCCAAAACCAACCAGCCTCAGCTTTTCCGAGGAGGATTTTATGGATGGTTCTAGTAGCCAAGATGGAAGCATTGTAGGGCATGAATCTTCCTCAAGGAGATCAAGGAAGCTCTCTGGAAGCCGAGCATGGGAGAGGGCTAGTGAGACGGACCAAGGTGAAACAGTGCTTTGGTGAAATGCTTCGCCTGCACTCAGTTTGGTACCATTTTTGCTGAATTTTGGATTTGATATCGATTTGGTGAAACCGTTGGAGCTTAAAAAAGTGGCTTTTTCACCAAATTTTAAATTTGATGCCAGGTTTGGTTCACCGTTGGAGATGGTCTTATTGGGTTCAACTTTGGATCTAATTTTGATAATTTAAACCGTTTATATTTTAAGATTTATTGAATATATCATATCTGTAAAAAATTAAATTGATCAGATATCAAAAATTATATGTTTGGATCATTAAACTAAAAACTATTTTTTTAAAAAATTTAATAAACAGTTTTTCGAACATATACTTTTTAATATCCGATCAACTTGATTTTTTACAGATATGATACACTCAATAGATCTTAAAATATGGACGGTTCGAATCATTGAAATTGGGCCAAAAAATGAACTTTTCAAGTTATTTCGTTCATTTTTTGATCTAATTTTAATGATCTGAACCGTTATATTTTAAGATTTATTGAATATATATAAAAAATTAAGTTGATCAGATATCAAAAAGTACATGTTCGGATCATTAAACTAAAAACTATTTTTTAAAAAAATTTAATAAATAGTTTTCCGAACACATACTTTCTAATATCCGATCAACTTGATTTTTTACAGGTATGATACACTCAATAGATCTTAAAATATGGACGGTTCGAATCATTGAAATTGGGCCAAAAAATGAACCCAATAACCTTGTAAATAGGAAGTAAAGGAGAGAATTCAAGTAAAGGATCTTGATTCTAAAACGTGAGTGGGGAAACCTAGACTATATTTTTTTTTTTTAGTGGGGGAAGGGGGGGAGTTTTGAAAACCTAGCCCTTTTTTCTTTTTTTTTGGTGGGGGTTTTAACTGTTTTTGTCCCATAAAATAAGGGGAAAATATCATTTTATTTCCTAAATTATCACGTGTTTTTCAGGTTAACTCCCATAATTCAATTTTTTTTAATTTAATATTTGAACTTTTTACAAATTGATCAATTAGACCCTATCGTCACCTTCCGTCTATAATTAAACGGAATGTGCTGACGTGGCATTTATAATTTCATTTTACCCCTCAAACTATACCTTAAAAATTAATTTACCCCTCAAATTAAAAATCAATTTGTCCCCCAAACTATACAATCAATTTGCCCCCCACATCAACACATTCCGTCCAATTGTGGACGGAAGGTGACGGCAGGGGTCTAATTGATTAATTTGTGAAAAGTTCAAGTACTAAATTAAAATAAATCGAAGTATGGGGGTCAACATAAAAAACGCATGATAGCTTGGCGGAAAAATGATATTTACTCTAAAATAAAAGAGTTGTAAATTTTTTCCAACTAAAAGATACTTTTGTCGCCAATTAATTTAGGAATCCCTCCAAAAATTTGAAGTCCTCCCTGCAAAATTTTAATTACAATTGAAGGACTAAAATTTAGTCCCTAAAAGCCAACTAAAGGGCTACTAAATTTTTTTTAGTGGCTAAATATTTTTTTTTTAGTGGTCAACCGGATGGTCGACCCGTTCGTCTCATCCCAATGATTAGGAACAGTGATTTGGTGAAATGCTTCGCCTGCACTCAGTTTGGTACCATTTTTGCTGAATTTTGGATTTGATATCGATTTGGTGAAACCGTTGGAGCTTAAAAAAGTGGCTTTTTCACCAAATTTTAAATTTGATGCCAGGTTTGGTTCACCGTTGGAGATGGTCTTATTGGGTTCAACTTTGGATCTAATTTTGATAATTTAAACCGTTTATATTTTAAGATTTATTGAATATATCATATCTGTAAAAAATTAAATTGATCAGATATCAAAAATTATATGTTTGGATCATTAAACTAAAAACTATTTTTTTAAAAAATTTAATAAACAGTTTTCCGAATACATATTTTTTGATATCCGATCAACTTGATTTTTTACAAGTGTGATATACTCAATAAATTTAAAAATATGAACAGTTCAAATCATTGAAATTGGGCCAAAAAATGAGCCAAATAACCTTGCAAGTAGGAAGTGAAGGATCGAACTCCAAGTAAAGGATCTTGATTCTAAAACGTGAGTGGGGAAACCTAGACTATATTTTTTTTTTTTAGTGGGGGAAGGGGGGGAGTTTTGAAAACCTAGCCCTTTTTCTTTTTTTTTGGGTGGGGGTTTTAACTGCTCTCATCCCATAAAATAAGGAGAAAATATTGTTTTATTTCCTAAATTATCACGTGTTTTTCACGTTAACTCCTATAATTCAATTTATTTTAATTTAATATTTAAACTTTTTATAAATTGATCAATTAGACCCCTATCGTCACCTTGCATCTATAATTAAACGGAATGTGCTGACATGGCATTTAAAATTTCATTTTACCCCTCAAACTATACCTTAAAAATTAATTTACCCCTCAAATTAAAAATCAATTTGTCCCACAAACTATACAATCAATTTGCCCCCCACATCAACACATTCCGTCCAATTGGGGACGGAAGGTGACAGCAGGGGTCTAATTAATCAATTTGTGAAAAGTTCAGGTACTAAATTAAAATAAATTGAAATATGGGGATCAACATAAAAAACGCATGATAACTTGGGGGAAAAATGATATTTACTCTAAAATAAAAGAGTTGTAAATTTTTTCCAACTAAAAGATACTTTTGTCGCCAATTAATTTAGGAATCCCTCCAAAAGTTTGAAGTCCTCCCTGCAAAATTTTAATTACAATTGAAGGACTAAAATTTAGTCCCTAAAAGTCAACTAAAGGGCTACTAAATTTTTTTTAGTGGCTAAATATTATACTTTTTGCTGACTAAATTTTGTTTAGTTGCCCAAAACCCAGCCTTCAACGACTAAATTTAATTAGTCGCCAAAAGTAAAATAAATACAGACTAAATTAATTTTTGTAGCTATAGATTGAACATTTAGGGACCAAATGTTTTTTTTGGTCGCTGAAAACCCTATTTTCAAGGACTAAAATCCAATTAATCGCCAAACATAAAGCAAATACCAACTACATTATTTTTTGTAGGCAAAGATTGCACCTTTCACGACTAAATTTTTTTTAGTAGCTAAAATGTGTACCTTTGCCGACTAAGTTTTTTTTAGTAGCTAAAGCATGCATCTTTGGCGATCAAATTTTTTTTAGTCGCCATTTTTAATCGCTAAAGGTGTAATTTCCTGTACTGATAGTAGTGTATCAAAAAATTATTTAATTATTTATAAGTAAATTTGTTCACATTTTAAATAAATAAATAAATATTAATTTTGATCTTTATATTTTTAATTAGATCAATTTTAATTTTTAAGTTTTTGTCAATTTGGTCCAATTAATAATACCATTAGTATTTTTGATGAAAAATGATCGTTGAATTTGTTGAGATTACTCACTGAGTTGAGAAAATTTATTATTTTACCTCTAAAAGAATAACATATGCCACTTATATGCATATTTGTCATTAACAAATGCTAACAACTAGGCCAAATTACACTATTAGTCCCTCTATTTTGGCTATTGTGTCATTTTAGTTTTTGTAATTTCAATTGAATCGATTTTAACCTTAAATTTTTTATTTTGTCTCAAATTGGTCCAATTGATAACATGTTATATTGAGTTCAACTTATTTTTTTATATTTATTTTGTTCATTTTAAAAAATTTTGGAATTATATTGATATTTTTTGTTTTTTTTTTCAAAAATGACATTAGATAGCTTGGAAATTTTTTAATCTAGTGACATTTCTCAAAATGCCATAAAATATTTGTTTATGATACCTTTCACTTAATGCCATAAAAAGTAACTTACATCTATCTAGTTTAGTGACATTTTTAAAAAATGCCATTACTATTTAGTGGCATCTTTTGATAAATGTCATTAAAATAATTTCTTGTGTCATTCTTTTATAAAATGTTATAAAATTGATGCTATTAAATCACATTTTTTGTGGCTCTGTGGCATTTTTCTAAAACATGCCACCAAATATTCTTTTTGTGACATTTTTTTAAAAAAATGCCGCTAGTATAGTGCCACTAAAGTGTGTTTTTTGTTGTAGTGGGTGCAGTCTTTTTCTATTAACTTTCTTCTCTCTCTTTTTTTTTTATTTATTTATTGGGTGCAGTCTTTTTAGAAAAAAATTCATTTTTACCTTTATATTTTAATTTTGATTTTCAATTACACTCCTAGACTTTGAATAATTTCAATTTTACCCTCAAACTTTTTGAAATTGTATCAATTTTGCCCCTTCAGTCAAATCTAAAATGGTAAAAGTAAAAAAAATTATATTTTGGTCGCAAATTTCAAAAGAAAAATGTAAACGCACCCTCTCCTACCCAAACTCACGCTTTCTCATTTTTCTCCAATTCTTCCCTTTATCCTCTGCCCTTGCAAGTGCTCCCACCACTACCAACCACCATCGCAATCACTCAATTCTCCAACCCAACTTCTCTCAAACCTAAATTCACTCACTGACTCCAAATTCTCAAACCCAAATTCACTTACTCCAAAATTTTTAGTTCTTCTTGTTGCAGGAGAGGAGCTGAAGTGGGAAGAGCAAGAAACACAATTTGGTTTCAATATCACAAAACTTCCCTCAATATCTCAACTTGATTTTGCATAGATTCTTTGGTAATCCAATGATAATTTACAAAACAAAAAATTCAGAGTTGTATATTGTTCATCACCACTCATCAAGAACCCTTGA